TACCTCTAGCACAGCAAAAAATCTGGTGTGTGGAGAGTAGGTCTAAAAAGAGTAATAGGTTTACTTACTCTCGCCCCGTCATTGCCAGCTGTACCTTCAGCACCTTTCTCACCTATGCCACCCTATGGAAAATAACCAGAAAGTCTCAGTTATGACACTGAATGCGGAGTAGTTCACAGGCTGGAACAACTACAGCATTAAGACACAGGGGATTCTGCTCAGCACAACAGAAATAACCAGACTTACTCTATCACCCTTGGGGCCAGGCGTTCCAGCAATCCCTCTTTCTCCAGGCATACCTTGAAGACCTGGTGGGCCTGGATCACCAGGTGTCCCACTAGGACCTGGGCTTCCCTGAAACAAATAAAAGGCAAGTTGTTGTCTGTTCATCTCAGAAGTATTTTTGACTGCAGAAGTGCCTGTGTTGAAGTCTCTGGGGTACAGTTTTAAGTAATATTTTTTTCTTAAATTTGGACTTTATTCATGTACAAATACTTCTCCCACTGTTACTCAAGGAGTTCAGTTTTAATACCGCAGCCCTTCCAAACACACTCAGTGCATACTGGGGACGAGAACACGTGAAAAAGAAACTTGAGCATCTTTCTAACTTGACCTTGATACCACATGGGTTTATTACACAAAGTAGCTACAGGTAGAGGTTGCCAGAGGCAGAGATTCTTTACTTATGCTTTGCTTTTCACAGCTGATATCCATGACAGGTCCTGCATCACTAGAGGCTCTCCCTACCTGGGGTGACCTTCCTAGGCCAAATTACGTCAATTGCAGGTGAAAGAAAGGCATGCATTTCTCAATATTTTCTTTTAAACACTCAACCCTGCCAAAACTCTTTGTGTAAACTGGCATGGTTCTTAAAATGAAGCCATGGACAGATAGTTTTATGCAGTTTAGAAATGGCTTTGTCCTGTTCTACTGAAAAACTCGAACATCATTTTAAACTTCAGATCTATAAAAATTAAAACAAAATGTGATTTCTCAACATTTTAGTATCTTGCAAGTTATTAATATTGTTATACTGGAATAACGCGCAAGGTCTCCAGAACACATATAAACAAGATACCTTCAATGATAAGATATCCCTTTTATAATAAAGAAGCTCTCTCTTTTATGGCCCACATATCAGCAGAATTATACATTACATCACTGCAGCCACACAAATCTCCATTTAGCTTACCTTTGGACCATCAGGACCGTGACCTCCAGCCATACCCTTTTCACCCTGGATTCCTGATGCACCTGGTTCTCCCCTTTCCCCTGGATTGCCACGTTCTCCCTGCAAAATAGAAAAATATTACTTATTTACAAGTCTGGGTACAGTTCTGGTAGCCAAACTTCTAAATCCACCACAAGTGCAGCACTGCTATTTGAACAAAGAGTCCGTGAACAAATTCTAGGAGGACAGATCAAATGAAAAACATCCTTATGCTTGTACTGTTAAAGGTAGGAGAAATAGCATGTTGCTCAGCAAACTAAAAACTGTCATTCCACAGCTGAAAACCAAATCACTTAGCAGCTAGTACTCAACACCACTTCATGAGATATGAGACCAATAAAGGTGGTAGGTTTTACAGAAATCATCTTAAAAACATATCCATGTTTACAACCATGTTGTTGGTGAGAAAGAAGTCAAATATTCACCTTTATTGTTAAAGCCCATACCTCAGAGGACTGCTATGAATGTTTAAATTCTGAAAGAAAATACTTACTCTAGGGCCCAGTGGGCCAACAGCTCCAGGATCTCCAGGCACACCCTATGCAGAACAGAAATCACCATTAGGATGAAAGCATTATTCATAGCCATAAAGTAGGGAAATTAGAGAGAAATATTTTCATTTCCTAAGTACTGTGAACGTAAGTGGCTAGTTCTGAATATTATCTGTTAATGACAAGAGGAGATAGTCCAACTGAGTCCAAGAAGATGGTCAAATTCTAGTTAATTATTTTCTCCAAAAGTAGTTCTCAGACAGCTTGCAGACAACATCAGTACATGTTTTGAAACAGAATGGGAAATTGAATTACAAAGTGAAGAAAAGGTAAAACTACTTTATTTAGTGAATTCTTGTTAAATTACACAGAAATTACCTGATCACCTGGCTTTCCACCTTCACCTGGAGGACCTGGTGGCCCTGGCAAGCCCTGTAAAAAAGTAAATAAAACGGTCACTAACATGATAGAAAGCTATGTAAATCCAGATTTAATTAAGACACAAAGAATGTGAATGTAGCTTTACAGTCAGTACAAGAGGCTGCCCTCAGAGATGCCCGAGCAAAATAGCTACATGAATACCAGACCAAAGTGTTTTCCCCTCTAAATAAAATGGCATCCTTTCTTTAATATTTGTAGGACATATGCTTATTAGACCTACAAATAAAGTTCTCTATAAACAGACATTGACTTAATTAATACTTCATTATAAAAACAACTCTTTTGCTCCATATTTGGAACATATTTGGAAAACCTTGACATTAAAATTGAAAAACAACAAAGATTTTCTCAATGGATACAGAGCTGGTATTCAGGCTTTTGCCAGTTCAGTTTAGTGCACAGCCGATGCGAAAGCTGAGTACCACTAAGTATTCTGAACATCACTGCCTTAGTTTTGAAGTTGTGTTCTGTCAAATAGCATTGAATTTCTCCAGTTTAAGCTGATAAAGACATGGCTGCTTGTATTTTTCTTAAAAAAAAAAAAAAAGACTGCACATACCTGAAACCCTGTAGGACCTGGAGGGCCTTGTTCTCCTCTTTCTCCTGCCAGACCCTACACAAAAGAGAGTAGTAAGTACACCATGGAGGAACACAGGCAGGCTCCACAGTTTTTCTTCTCTCTGAATAAGTACATATTCATTTATGTATTATTATTATACATTTTTACTTACTCCAGGCCAAGATATATTCTACCTGAAAGGTGTAATAAAATGTATCTTATTTCTTTAAGATCCTCTGCCCCAAAATTCCCTGCTGACAGGAAAACACTCAGTTCCATTGAAACTGAGGAAGCCAGGAAAATGCACTATGAGAAAATTTTGCTGCTTGCGCTATTTTTTGTGATGGTCAGGAAAAGGAATTAGACTACTAATACATGTATTTTCAATATAAAGCTTCCCATTCTTTCTAGAAAATTTTTCCTTTAGATATTCTTGGGATTTTTTAAAAATTTTATTTTTATTTATTATTTTACTTAATTTTTATTCAACAATTCACATGAAGACAGATAAAAACAGAAGCAGAAAAAGCAACAAATGGATCGAGTGATGGGCAGGCTGAGTGGTAAAAGGTGACTTACTGGTGGGCCAACAGGACCGGAAGGACCAACTTCACCATCTTTACCAGGGGCTCCCTAGATTAAAATGACATAGGAAGAAGTCTTGTATAGTCAACAAATGTAACAGAAATGCATCATTTTTTGTAATCACTGCAAATAACAGTCACACTCACTCTCTGTCCTGGGACACCCGCATTGCCTGCTTCTCCAGGTTTTCCAGGATCACCCTAATTTGCAGAAATAAAAATGACTACTTTTAGATACTGTTTTCATCCATTAAAATACATGTAGATGTTTAAAGTTAAATAGATCTTGGGTACCAGGTGCCATACTCACACTACTGCCCTTTGGCCCAGGAAGGCCCATGCTGCCTGGCTGACCTCTGATTCCTATTGAACCTGCTGGGCCTGGGCGTCCATCTTCTCCAGGAGCACCCTACAGAGCAAAAGCATTTTCCATGTTACATTATAAATATATTTTATTCATATGAACTAATTTGTCCCTGAAAATTTTTTCTATATATAAAAAAGTAACATTAACCTGGTTTCGTGACACAGTTATCAGTCAAATTGTCTTTGAAGCAGATACAGCTTTTTTAGCCATACTGCTGGATTTAACCAAATACTGCACAATAATCACCATTATGTACAAATACTTTGTTGTTTCCTTAAAGAACCATTTAGAAAATACAGTTAGCTCAAAATTATTTAAAAATATTGCAGCAACTGCTAAACAAGTGACATTGCTACACAGACAAAACTAAAGGAACATTATCTGCACTGATTTTGAGTCAGGAATCTAAAGTGAACACTTAAAAGAGAAGATGAACCTTCAGAAATCAAGAGAACTCAACTTAATAAAAGTAATTTCAATGAGTTGCGATCTTTGAATTACAGTTTCCTTACCAAAGGGACTAATTTTTATGTTGCTTACCAAGGGGCCAAGTTTTCCTTCAGGGCCTTGGACACCTGGATTTCCTGTCAAACCCTAAAAGCGGGAATAATATTGGTGTTAAGTTGTGGATATAATTCTAGAGTGATAGAGAAATGTCAATAAACCCAAAAGATACACTCAGTTACTACCATGGTACAAACACTAAGATATTCTTTACACAGGACTATCATCTTTGTATCAAAGGTCCTCATCCTCACTTTACAGCTTCATCCCCCACTGTCTTTGATCTTCCCTCTTCCTATCCTCCCTTTTCTTGCTTCTCACAAGATCATTGTCTTTCTGCCAACATTACCAGTGGTCTAAACCACATCTTACACTTGCTGCTCCCTCTCTTCTTTTGTGGTATTACGAATTTTTCCCAAATATCTTTCCTGAAAAAAAATTCCTAGATGGCGTGTACCACTCAAGAATGTAAGTTATCTTTTATCAATTCAATGGAGGGCTGGCCTTCAATTCATGTCATCTGTGGCAACTATGTGCCTTACAAACACACTTCCTTCAGTTGCGTTAGTCAGTCTCAGTCAGAGCCATTTCTCCTTTCTTGAGGACAAATGGAACCTGTGCTTCCCAACATCAACCGGAAAAATGACAGCTGTCTTGACCTTTACCCTTTTGGTAGCCACATGGAAACAAGTCTGTCCTTGTGTAACAGCTTATTCATTCTGCAGAGTTCATTGCTGCCTTTTGAAAAGGAAAATGTCATAGTTTATAGTCACGGCTTATAGTGTACTGCTATTAGTTCCTTACCCTTGCACCTGGGAGACCAGATTCACCAGGACGCCCAGGATCTCCCTGACTTCCTTTAGGACCAAAAGAACCTGCTGGACCACGCTCCCCTTGGGCACCCTAGAAAGATACCAGTGGGAAACGAGTTAGCTCGTAGTGTCAGTCAGAGAACAACAACACTGAAAGAAAGTTAAACAAAACAACAATCGTGTATTAAAGACCTATTTTTGCAGAGTTCCAAATCATTAATACTTCTATTATTATTACATTTTCCCCAAAAAATCATTACTTAAAAGTTGTCTCTTTCGTAAAACAAATATACATAAGGATTTTAGAATCCCTGTATTTTTACCAAAAAGCTAGAATTTTAAAGAAACACTAGCCAACTATGTATAGGAGTCACTTCCCTGGAAGTGTGATAGCACTTAGGAAAGCCAAAGACAGATAAGACCTTCTGTTCAAGGGACAAGTCTAGAAAAAAATATACTACACACAAAGAAAGAAAAGGCAATTCTTCAAATGGTTACCTACTATAGTGTAATGCATAAAGCAGTGCAGTAATAGGTGAGACCACATCTGGAATATTGTGTCCAGTTCTGGGCCCCTCAGTTCAAGAAGGACAGGAACTGCTTGAAAGAGTCCAGCACAGAACCACAAAGATGATGGAGGGAGTGGAGCATCTCCTGCTGAGGAGCAGCTGAGGGAGCTGGGTCTCTTGAGCTTGGAGCAGAGGAGACTGAGGGGTGACCTCATTAATGTTTATAAATTTGTAAAGGGCAGTGTCAGGAGGAAGGAGCCAGGCTCTGCTCTGTGATGTCCAATGACAGGACAAGGGGCAGTGGGTGCAAGCTGGAGCATAGGAGGCTCAATTTGAACGTGAGGAAAAACTTCTTTACTGTGAGGGTGCCAGAGCATGGCCCAGGCTGCCCAGAGAGGTTGTGGAGTCTCCTTCTCTGCAGACATTCAAAACCCGCCTGGCCGTGTTCCTGTGTGACCTGGTCTGGTGATCCTGCTCTGGCAGGGGTTGCACTGGATGAGCTTTCCAGGTCCCTTCCAACTCCTGATATGCTGTGATTCTTATCTATTCATATTTCAGCATGAGGGAGCATTAAGTCAAGGACAAGGAAGGAAAGCTCAACATCATAGGAATTCAAAGTTACTATTGTCCCCCAAAAATATAGTCCCCAGACGTTCAGACCCCTTTTTGGCATTTATCAATTCCTTTTGATCCTGCTTCCAACGATTTTGAGAATCTGCCCATTTGATAAGAAGCATATGCTTTTAATGGAGCACTTTCTTTCTGCATATCTATATGTATGGAAATGTTTTATATTACCCAGATAAAAGACAGACACTTCAATTTCATTTACCTTTGGTCCAGGCAAGCCATCAGAACCTGGAAAACCACGATTACCAGGCGCACCCTAGGAAAAGCCATAGATACAAGAATATAATTTTGACTTTTACAGAATTTACTGCAGAAAAAGTATTAGATCTATGATTTGGGGGTTCAGTTTATTTCCTTAAAACTTTCTTACTTCACTACCTGGGGGTTTTATAAGCATTTGGACTGGTAAAAGTATCAGTGTTTCATTCATGCATACTGAACAGCTCCTACATGAGCAGCCTCATTGAAAACAAGATGGTGATGTGTATAGAGGTTAAGCAAAAAATCTGCAGATCAACTCAGGTCTCCATCATCTGTGCTACCATACTATCCTGTCCACTGAAATTGCAAATGAAAATATCCAGGGTAAAAACACTGCACAGTGTGACAGATTTCCCCAAAAGAATAATCAAAAGTAAGATCTATTCAGGATGCAAGAACCACCATTCTGTAATTTTCTATCTTGATCTTCAGGGTAGCATTTTCAAAAAGAATATAACACAGAAGACAGCATCCTAAAATCACTAATCTGATATAGAACCAAATTATAGACATAAATCAACTACTGATAGGAAAAGAAAGTCTGGCTATACTCACAATGAAGCTGTAAGAAAATTCATGGTTAGGTCAAGAGGCTTTTTGGCTTAGAAGTGCATCTCTTAAGACTTACTATTCCTTTGGATTGCTTACCCTCTCTCCAACAGGACCTGGTGGACCTACTGACCCTGGATCACCTCTAGGACCTCTTTTCCCTTCTTCACCTACAGGGCCAATGGGACCCTGGGGACCTTGTGGGCCCTAGTGAAAGCAAAATGGTTTTTTTTAAAAATAAATGTTAAGCTCATCAATTCTCAGATACATTGAAACAGACTGTCCTCTAAACATCACAGACATTTTTCCAAATAAAGGTGAGAAAAATATAGTTAGGTTTTGAATCAGTTAAATAATGCAGCTTTCAGCATCGGCTTTTCTCTTTTACAATGTTTAGTAGCTACTATTTCAGTAAGAATTATGCTATGAATAAAATGTAATTCTGCAGTTTGGCTGTACAGTGCTTCTCATAATCAGCTATTTGCTCAGCTACAACAATTTGTATTTATTATTATCAATTGGACAAGTTGCAATGGATTTAAAATTCAGTGAGGCTCTTGTAGATATTCTCAAAGAGAGGAGAAGACCGTGTTAAGGAAACCATTACTGCGTCAGTCAATTATTACGTGATAATTTAAGTGGTGGGAAAGAAAACAAACGATTGGTTGACAAGTCAAACTGACTCGAACTCTGCAGAATCACTTTTCTTCCAAAATGCACATGGTTACCACATGGCATTAGCCAGGTTTTCAAATAATCTTTCACAAACATTAGCTATGGGTTAAACAGGTATTCATACCATAGAGGTATAAATACTTCTATCCATGTCTAAATAAAATATAAGTAATGTATACATATCCACAAAAGTATAAAATGTATTACATGTGAGTTTAGAATAAAAAGGACTTTACTACAATTAGCACACAGACCTGTGTGCTCTTAAATGTGTTTAAATATGGATCTATTTCTCATGAGATGAAGCAATTAGAATAAACTCATTCTGCTTGCTACAGAAACCTCAGCAGATGTACTAACTGGTTTCTCTGTCCTGTAAGGTCTATACTGGGTATAACATCAAAGGACCTGCGCCACCATTCATTCTTAGTGCTGTTTAGCCAGGTTCACTTATCTTCCACAACAATTACTCAAAAGCCAAAAGTAATCTTCTGACGATTAAGAGCATCAGAAGCGTCTTGAAAATTTTAAGAATCTATTCTAAATACTCATACAAGCCTTTGTGGTTCCTTTCCATCTTACAAAGCACATCGAGACTTACAGGTTCACCTTTGGGTCCTGCTTCTCCCTTGAAACCTGGGACACCAGGGTCTCCCTGAAAACAAACATGAATAACACCTATAAGGTTAAAACTGCATAAATCATTCAACCATTTTGGAATCTGCTATGAAACAGAAAAATGTTCTCTAGTTTAGTAGCTAGTTGTAGTTAATATAATAGTATGCTTACAATAATTTCTTTTTCCCTTTAGCATGCTTGTTTATTATGACATTATCAAGACAAAAATTTAAATGGGACTATTTCAGGAGACAATTGTTACTGTTTGTCCAAGTTTAAATAGAGACTCCTCTTTCTTTGACCTCTAAGAAAGCAAAAGCAGTATTTTGGACACAGAAGATTCACAAGATCCAAGTCTCAGCATAGTCACTAGCACGTTTTTAATTTATTCAAAGGAACCTCACTGGTAATCACTGTTTTAGTTTCCTAGTGTAAACATTTGCTAGACAACATAATTTCCACAGAGACAAAGACAGCATTACCGGCTGGCCTCGAATACCAGGTGGGCCAGTACTGCCTTGTGGTCCTGGGGACCCAGGTGGACCTGATAAGCCAATGGGGCCTCCAGTGCCTGGAGATCCCTATAAACAGAAATAACAGCAAATACAGTAAGGACAAGTAATAAAAATAAGGAAATAAAATAAATCCACTGACACAATTTCTTCAACAGGTGATATGATCACTTACAGTTGGGCCCTTAGCACCGGGGGAACCATCCGTCCCTTCGCTACCCTAAAAATAATGTACCAATCATTACAATAAATATCAGTGAGGAGGGTATAGATAACAAAATCAAATTATGATTGTTATTTTATCCACTTTACAAGATCAGACAATAAGGGCTATTAAATAAACACAGCAACATAAGATCTACTTGTGCAAATGCTAATACTGGTAACGAACTGTGCAAATTTATGTGACTTTAAATCTCTAATATCTTGTTTTTAAGCTTAAGCTTTAAAGTTATTGTAGGATTGAGACTGCATCAGGCTGTGTAACTTTCAGTTTTCCAAGTTGTTTTTATTAAATAATGATAATTATTTTCAACCAAAAAAAAGCATTAAAAAATGAATGAATAGTATCTTTCCTTTTCTGGGGAAAAAAGGCGATTTGAGCAAACCCCATTGCCTATCATTTGAGGTATTAAAATCCACTATAAACAGGCAACTTGCACAAGCTGAGCACCGAGGAACTCAGTTTAATGTACTTACAGGAAGACCTTGTGATCCAGCTGGGCCTTGTGGACCTGTTTCACCTCTCTGTCCTTGAGGGCCTTCAGGACCACGAGGACCCGTTGGACCTGCTTCCCCCTAAGTTTTCACATGAGAAAACACATCAAGATTATTTAGCTCTAAAAAGTAGTCCTTCAAAGTAACTAAGGAGGAATACAGTGTTTGTAAGTGAAAAACAATTCAAGCTTTGAAATAGCTTATTATTCTTAAAATATATTTTTGCTTATCTAATTCTGCTCCTACTGCTTCTATGTGAATGTAGGCTTTAAAATACAAACAGAATTTTTCCTCAAACTATACAAGGAAACTTTCTGCAGAGAAGCAGCACTATATCCATTGGCCCAAATCAGATCAGATATTTTAGAGAGACATGCATTAAAAGGTCTATCATTTAATTGTATAGATTATGTTGATACTCTTATTAAGACTTGTTTCCAAAAAACTGTTTTGTGAATGTTGCCAGCTTCACAACACCACAAAACATCTGCTGAACTTGGCTACCTGACTAATTGGGTTTCTTCTTGTATCATTCTTTCCTATCATGTTTTTGGACTGTAAAGGAACAAAGAGGAGCAACTGGGTGGAGGGTAAGTAGAAGTATAAGGAAGCCATAGGAGTTGTCTTTTCTATCTTTGCAGGCATATTCTCAAGGCTAGGGAAAAAAAATTGAGCACCTTCTTGAAAAACAAGAGAGGAAAGCCACAAAGTGCCACGAAAAGACAGCGTTGCAGCCAATAAAAGTTTTCAATTTCAGCCCAACCACACAAAGCCACAAAAGGCAGCAATCATAATTTACTCTACTGGGATGGACTACAGTGCATCTCTGTCAGGGTACAAGCATTTTCCTTACGAGTCTAAGTCAAATCAGAAAGCATTCCTGGCCCAAACTGTGTGTTTCAGCAGCAGAAGGTACTGCTTCCACACTGTCTTAGATTAGCTCTCACAACTTGTATTCTTGCTATTCTTTGAATATACTGGACAAGATTCCTGAGGCACAGCGTGACAGACATCCAATAACCACTCCTTAGCTCAGGCAAAAATGAAGGCAAAGAAAGTACAGTAACTGTGGTGAGTCACAATTACTTCATCGGGCTTTTGATTTCTATTTGCTTTCTCAAGGTCTAGACTATGATTGATTTCACAACAACTCAGGAACCTGTATACATGTCAGTTGGAACTCTGTGTAGTCTAGCACACGTTTTTTAATTGTGTGTCGTTATACATATTAAAAACATATTTTTATTTTCTTTTTTACCTTTACACCAGGAGCACCTGGAAAACCTGGAGAACCAGTTATGCCAAGTGGGCCCTGCAAAAGACAAACACACACAGTTATAACTCTCAGTTTAGGTCATAGGGGTTAGTATCTAAACACTGGGATTAAATATGTTTCTGGGATTAAATATATTTTTTAGTCATAAAACATTTGTTCATAACAAAACCAAAATAGCTATAAATATAATTTTTCTAAGTTATTCACATGTTTTGTGGAATTGTGGAGCAGTATTTATTCTAATACTGTATTTATTGACTTCAGCAAAATTACAGCTCTTGATTCAGCTATTAATGTGCAAATTGCAATATACACAGTTGATACTATAGCAATTGTTTTGCAATATACACAGTTGATATTATAGCAATTGTTTTCCAATTATAGTTTTAACAAATCATTATGTCCTCTTTTTATATCTACACTACTGTGGCATGGTAATGAAAAGACCAGGTATTTGTTAAGCAATCACAGTTTCTCCCGTAGAAAGTAGCAAAGCAGAGTTTCAATTCTTTTAAACTTTCTAATAATCTAGAAAAAAGACAAACACAAGCCACATCTGCATTGAAAATATAGGGTATCTAGACCAGATTCTTGAGGTAAGCAACATGGCAAGTGAAAATATAATTAAAGGCTATGCAATTACATGCAACTCCTGTGGCTGCAAGGACGTGAAGTTTGGGCAGGGAGGCAACCAGCTGGGGCTGCGTTACATGGAGACTATTCAAACTCACCAGAAAGCAAAATTCAAGTGTATACTTGAATATGGTCTGATGCAAACCTCGTTTTGCTAAAGAGAACGATTTCCAATTAAGGGCTTTAGATTAAATTTATAAATTGTTTCCATTTTCAGAATGCCTCTTGTGCTGAACGAGACATTCAGCAGAAGACCTTCCTACAGTATCACAAACTCTCTGGATGGCGGCACACAGTGGTTTTAAATATTCACTGCAACACTCTTCCCAGATGATTTCTTTTTATCTTTTCCTGATTTGTCTCTTTTTCATAAAATATGACTCATACTATGAAAAATGTTCTGTGTAATGAAGCTCTGCTGACAAACTTAATAAGAACAATCTGTCTCACTGAGTATTAACACCACACTGCACTTCTGCTGTGACCTTGCACTGGATTGCTACAGAACTGAGGTAACAGCTCACTAAGGATATTTTTGAAAACCTGTGTCCCAGTTTGTCAGATCACAAATACTTGTCTGCCGAATCTCTCTCTTGTTGCAGGAAACATTCCAGAATTACATTATACCACTGCACCAACCCAAATAGTAATGCACTTCATTAGCACTCCCTCTAATGAGAAACACACGCAGTAAGGACCAGGATCTCCCTTGTGACTTTACATGGGATTTTACCAAAAGTGTTATCCAATCAATTACAATGTCCAGTGCAGCTGAGCTCACGTATTATGCCAAATAAATATTTCAATCTTTTGTAAGATTTCATAGCTCAGGACCCAGCTTTTTAAAAACTTTATAATACATTTTAAATACTTTAAAATCTTTTGTTTCGAAGTTTCGTCCAAAAAGTCGTTCTTCTTTCATGAAACACTAAATAATTGATGTTTACAGCTTTTAGACATTTACAGTCGTTTTTGAGCTTCTATTACACTTAATTATTTCTCAATGAGCTTTGTAATAAAACAGTCTGTTCGCTAAGGTCACACAGGTAAACGAATGTTTCTCAAGGTTTATATCACTATTAAAGAACGTGCACAGAATGACATTCTAATTGCGGGCAAGTGTGATTTGGGGTTTTGAAGGAGACTTCTTGGTGTGGCGGGTGGGGGGGTGACGGTTTTGATTTTTTAAAATGTATTTTAAAGTTGAATATCATAAAGTGGTAAAGGCTCATGTTGGCTGCATCAACAGGCAGAAACTGTTGCGCACATCCCATAATTAATGCTTTCAAAGAAAGCAAAAAAACCTCACACATTTTTAAACTGGAAACTGGCCTAGCACAAATAGTACAAAATCATCATAAACTTTCATTCGCAAAAACAATGAATAATGAAACATGTATGTGAATAATCCCACTGGCTTCCTAATACATTTTCTTATGTGAACTGACTCAAATGGATTGTGCAAATGCACTGTGGGATTGGATCGTAGGATTGAAACTATCAGGCTTTGATACACCGACATCCACAGTTTAAACCACCACAGCCATTTTCAGCCCTGTTGCAATTGTGTAAGAACTACCACAGTCACGCATACCAGGCTTTCTCAGTTTGGCAGACATTCACACATAGGCTTCTGGGCCTTCAGTTCCATCTGTTACCGTCCATAATCAAAACCCTCTCTTTTACGCGTTTTGTAATGTATCAACTGCAGGTAGCAAATTCTGCTATCGGTGACTGGCGATTCTTCTTGCTGAGAATGGATGCAACTTCAAATGTCAACTTCGTATGTGAAGGAGGATAATATGCAATTATAAACTTTGATATTACATTGCATCTCTTTAAGACACATATCTCCCTACAATATGGGCCCCACTTCATAAAAGCAGCAGAGTATCACCCCTTATACTCCTCTGCAAATTAAAACCTTTAGAAGAAGCAAAATACAGAGTATGATTTCTCAGAGGGTAGTACTAAAGCTATGATGAATAGAAACAGGAATCACTTACAGACAACGCCTGGTGCACTCACTGTTATCGGCATCTGCCAACAGTTTTTTGTACTTCTTTTGGTAACGTAGTAAAGGTAAGTGGCAAATATATGGTGAAAAAAATAGGCGATTAAGAAGGAAACCTACCATTGGTCCTGGCTTCCCAGGCATACCATGCTGGCCACGGCCACCCTAGATATGGAAATGGACAAGACAGAATATTTACAAGAGTTCTAACAAATTTATTTTAATGGTTTATCGTTGGCATTTGTGATAACAGTCATACATAGCAAAGTGATTAAAGAAATGGTGGATTGCAAAGCCCTTCAAAGACTGGCATGGAAAACTTCTGGAAGAAATTATAGTCAAGTAAATTTCTCAATTATCAGAGAGGCCAGTATTTTGACAGTGTAATTTTATGAACATATAACAGAAATGGAGCACATAAAAGTCATGGGGAGAAATTCCAGAAAAATCACCACTTGACACTGGACATAAGGCAACGGAAAGAAATTTCTACTCAAATATGATCTCATGTCAAGGCTAATCCCTCTTTTAGATGAAAAGCAAATTAGTTTTTAAGAAGACAGTTTTATTATTTTATTTTTTATTACCTGGATTTAAGTTGTAAGACTTAATTTAATTTAAAAGTCTAAATTTTCATTTCAAACATTTTTCAGACAAAATCAATACATCCAATTTATAATTCAGTAATTTCTGGTGAAAATAGCCTCTCAAGAGAAACTTCACAGAAACAAAGAGGAAATATTTGTATCACAGAATGAAGTGTTGTGAGGGTATTTGGCCTCATGGGCAGCTGTTGTATAAGAAATTACCAAACAGCATTCTCCATGTCAAATGTTGGTTTTACTTTTGAAATTTACAGTAAAGGTCTCACTCCACAAAACTGCTCAGGCCCCAGCTTTCTTAAGCTACAGCAGAACTCACCATGGAACTGACTTCACAGTCATATGAATACACCTTCAGGCTCAGGGATTTAAAATTAAGTAAAACAAGGGAAAAATTACAAGGAGAAAGAAGGAAGATCCTACTTACAGGGGCACCCTGTGGCCCAATTCGACCTCTTTCTCCTGGCATTCCTCTAGGTCCCTTGAAGAGAGAACAAAAAGTGCATTATTTAGGAGCTCATCATGGCAGAATAACAATAAAAGGGTACATAGTTTGCTTGATTTTTCCCCAATAGTGGAGAAAACATATGCCACCCCTTCTTTTTTTGAAAATATTTTTCTTATTTTTCTTTGCTTTTTATTTTTTTTTCAAACATTCTTGACTTTTCCTTGGCTTCAAATAAGTTTTGTACTACATCCCTTTTTAGTGCTTTTCTGCTCGGTCTTCTTTATTGCCTTTTAACCAGAACATGATTAGGTCCACTGAGACTACAAGCATTATAAGGACGTATGATGTGAACAGAAGTTACAGAACCAAGCCTTTTTTTTTTTCTTCCTGCAGGTGTGGCTGATCTTGTCTCATAGCAGGAAAGAAGCAGCAGCTTACCTAAAATCTTGCAGTCTCACAGGCTTGCCCAGTGCAAATTTAAGACTGTAATTTCTCTTTTCCTGCTCCAACAGCATTTCTAGTTTTAAATACATGCAGAATAAATTCTGCATGTGCTCACCAGGGTCAACAATGCAAACTCATTTACTACAGCTCACTCACAAACCAGGTCCAGGATATTACATTCTGCATGGCAGAGGGATGTCATTATTTGATATTAGAAAGGTGCTTTACTTCCAGAACTACTGCCGAGAGTCGATTTTTTGCATGTTACACTGCTAGCAAGTATTCAGCTGTCCAAAACCAAATCTGAATGAAAATTACTCTGAGAAAAGGTTTCTTGGTTTCATTTCCATGTTATGCATGCTTATCCTTGCCATAACCTCTACAATCCATTGTTTTCTTAGCTGATGCATTTCTGACCTAAATTATTCCATTTCTATCTCACAGTAACCACATCCACTTTTTCGTATATTGAAATCATGCCATATGAAAGATCAACATGTAAAAATATTTTAGTCAACCTACACTTACATGAGTAAGTAAACAATCACAAAATCTACATTCAAGTTTCTGTTGAGTCTTCTGATCTATCATGATCATCTATGTCAGTGAATTGTGAAGAAAAACAGCTTATAGTGGGCCAAATTTGCTGCTAGTGTAATAGAAAACAAAGCCTTAATTAGAGAAAGTTCAGTTTCATGACATCAAGTATATATTTCAAAACCTTAAAACTCCTATTGGCAATAGCATTTACTATCTTAAAGACACTTCTGTAATATCCAGTGTACGTGACACTCACCAGAGGACCCATCGCACCCATGGCACCTGTTGGTCCAGCTTCTCCCTAGAAAGGGAAATGAAATGACACAGTTAGAGGAAACAGGTTAGAGGAAAATGGAGTTGCACATTTGATCTCTGTCCTCTGTGCTTACGTTGGACCCAAGAGGCAGACTGGCAGAGTGCATCACGTGCCAACGGCAGTTACCCGTGCTGGTGGGAAATGCCACACTCACACATTTTCCATGGTCTAGCTAACTGCCCACCCCACCTGCTGCACTGGTTCTACTGAGTTTTCTGCTCTTGTTGCCTCTACAGAAAGCGGCAGGCAATCTCAGGAAATAAATAGTTCCTTACACAAACTCTCCTTAACTACTGATTTCGCATTTACATTGAGATTTTGAAAGATTCCCTTCACTTACTAGATTTTTAATCTAAAGGAATATAAAATTCTGTCCTATCTGTGATTATCACCTATACCAGTCCAAAAATGTTTCAGCATCAGCACTGATCAATATGGAAAAGCCTGAAAAAAAAAGTTCTATGCTCTTTTAAAATAACTTTTAATCCATCTGGAAAAGATTGACTCCAGATGGCTATCCTGTGTTACCACTGCTTTGAGCTGAAGTTGTAAGGGTGCTGCAGTACCACTGAGGGTCAAAAATTCTGAGAGAAAAAAACTGCTGGGTGAAAAATAGTCAGTCCGATAAAACATATTCTCTCTCCTCTCCAATGCCTGTTTCTTTTAAGCCAGTCTCTAGTATGGTAATCCAAAAGAGGAGAGACAGGTTTTAGTTATCCATTGTTTTATTTTATTAAATTATAGCTATATAAAAAAATTAGAAAACTGCTTCTCACCTCTCAACTTGGTCACATAAAGCCACCAAGAATCACAAACTGTCCAAGTGGAAAACTGCAAGATGTGCCTGGGCTCTTTGCTAACAGGCTTCATTGTCGTCAGTGTTGCAAAGGTACCACAGACAGACCACAGCCAGTTCACCCATGATTCATTACAGGCCTAAACCTCAGCCCCAGCTGAAGCTGTGCCTGGCATTGTGGAACTCTCTTCCTGTGTAATGCTGGGCACGTAATCGTATAGCAGCTTGTATGGACCAAACATACAGTAAAAATAGACATTCCACATAGCTTCTCCACTCCATACAAGTGGCACTGACAGGAGAGAGAACAAAGCTGTGTTCGAAATATCCACTATCTATTATTATTTTGGCATTATAGACAACATGCTTAAGCATCTACTTCTTTGGGCCATGGAAATACCTTTGCTCCAGCTGCTCCAATTTCACCTTTTGGACCGTCGAGTCCTTTCAAACCCTGTAACAGTTATGAAAATGGGGAGAAATTATATTTATATATGTACACACACAGAGCATTCCTATTCTCACTGTTAAAACAACTTGATACTAAAGTGTTAAGAATGGATCTGAGATGGTAAGAGCAAGAAAGGAAAAAAATACAGAAGGAAAAAAAACATGGAATAAAGTTTTTAAACATTTCCTAAATGGAAACTATTCGTATGTACAAGGTACATTTCCTTGGATTTAGTTTCCTTTTTTAAACAAGAACGTTTAAAAAAAAAAAATCCTAAAACAACAAGGAGGAGGCTCTGAGCCATAGGAAACCTATTTATTCATCCGTGAAGTGAAATTCTGGCCAGAAAACTTGGTAATTTGTAATCACTCCGTGTTGCAAACATATCCACCTCTCAAGTTCCCCACCCTAATGCAAGACTTGCCAACAAAGTGAGAAAACTGTCAGGTTTGTGCCTCCTGAAGCTTGGCAGGGCTCATGTAAGCTCCTTCCAGATTCCCAGAACATTTGAAAAAAGAGTGAAGAAAGCACTAGCGAACATAATACAGGGGTCAGCTTAAAGGGGAATAGCACTGATTTTCTGTGACTCCCTCTTTCTCTCAAATTCCAGGGATTCTGCTACATTTGGCAGGTCCATAGAGTAGTTAAATTCACCATAAATACAAAAAATAGTTGAGTATCTTTATACTGAAACTGCCTGGAAACGTCAGCTATAAAGAGAGGGGAAAACCTTGTTTCTTACCCTGTGACCCTTGAGACCTGGGAGACCAGGAGCACCAGGAAAGCCTCGAGGCCCCTAGGTTGGAAGAAGAAAAAACAAATAAAATCCTGATTTCTGCAGGAAAATGTATCGATAATGCTGCTAACAGGTCAGAGTATAGCAACATTGTTATTAATACTCCTAATACTCCTTCATCTTGGTGGCATAATACAGTGAGGCAGAGCATTTGAGCGGGTCACAGATGAGGAAGCACAACTTGCTATGATGTTAGACAGTCTCAGCATGATGTACGTGTTCACTGGTATTAAAAGCTTTATTGTTTGCATTGGTGTATGACGAAACAAACAGAAGTAATGACATAAAGCCAGTGGTAGATCAAGTTTTGAAACTTAATATAGAAAAAACAATCAAAAATTATGACATTTCTGAAATGAATATATTAGATTGCTTGAAATGATTTATATTCAATGAGTTTCTCAGTGAAGGATGATCTCTCTTGTCATACAAGGTGTCACATGTAAATTTGAAATTGTACAAATTATGCTTGTTTAGACTGAATGTAGCCCATGAGAAGGATTTATTTGGCCTGTGCTCAGTTGTTTATGAATATCCTCTTATACAGCCAGGGCAATCAAATGATGAAGCACACATATGGGACAAGTCACGCGGCAAAGACACAAATTACGTAGGAGGGGAAGCAGCTATGGGGTGTACCTGTAGAGCTTTACAGGCCTTGTTGTTGTAAGGATCGTCTGGCACTCATAGTTCATAAACAGGTTTCAGTGACGTCTGCTGTACCAGGCGAACCATGGGGGGTTACAAAGTCACTCAGTATTGGCTTGCCTTGAGGCCCTACCTCTGCAGAGACAACCCATGGCGAGCTGTGTAGCCCAGCCCTGAGTTGTCTGGTAAGCCTGAGACTAGACAAGGCAGTGTTGCATCATTCAAAGAACCAAAACCTGTCTTGAGCCTTGAAATCCCTCAGCAAATAATATGCCCTGAATCCAAATCAAATCACTATTCAGTTGCTTAAAACTGAGATAAAGGTAAGTTTGAGGGTGTTCATTTGGCTTCAACTGGCCCAGACAATACAAGGATATGCAAAAGGATCATATGGAAGTTAGCCTCACTCATAAATAAAGGAGAAACGGCTGCTAAAGTCTAGCACCCCAGGTGGCAGCACGCTCCTGCCTACCATCAGGTAGATCAGGGAATAAAACCCCTAAGATTTGGGCTGGAAACTGAGAGTTGCTTCTCCAACTCTGCAGCTGGCAGGTGAGGAGACCCTTCCCCCTTAGTTGGGATGCCAGCCTCGGTAACTTATTGAGAGCCCTTACCTGGAGGGGTAAGTGAATATTTGGTATGTTTTAAATTTGTAGTTGCAGGTGATTGATGTATGGTATTTGGTGCATTTGTGAGCTGTGATAGTGTGTTCCATGCATCACCTGTGGATTGGAATAATGAGTTTTCTGACTTTCTTGTTGTTCCAACAGTGCATTTTGTGAATCTCTTGTGGTTGCCATAGTGTGGTCTTGCTTTTAACTGCAATAGTGCATTTCTCCATTGTATCTCTAAAACCTGCGATAGTGGTGTATTGAATTTGCAAGCGCTGTTCAAATAAACGGCTTGAACCCTGCAGTTGAGTCTCTCTCCCATTTTTTTTATTTCTAGCATGAACCATGACAAGTATCTTCTGCACTACATCTACATATTATTTGGAAACCTCTAAATCACATAGACAAATTGAATAAATGTATTAAAAGAAATTATATCTATCTGTGATACAATCCTTTCTTCCCTTGCCCTGTATTAAAGGTAAACAATGCCACCCAAATCTGACAACATTTTATACTCTCTGAGCACTTCCTGCACGTGACTGTGAATAAGCATGTGAAATGTAAATGTATGTAATGTAAAATTAAAGAATGTAAATAAACATTCTCTTACTGGAGATCCTGGAAATCCAGGCTCACCGGACTGTCCTGGTCTGCCAGGCTCACCCTAAGGACATAAAAAAAGAACACATGAAAATAGCAAATGTGATAATTAACTTTTTAAACCTTTTTCCATTCAAACAGATGAGGACATTCACATCAGGATTACAAATCGTCTTTACTGTAACAGTTTCAGTGATATAAATCAACCGCACACTTGCGTACCCATGTGCATTTTGCACATTAACATTTAAAAAGATTTTAACAAAGAATGGCAGAAACCGAAGATTGAGTCCAAAATGTATCTCAGCATGACAAGATAGTGCTGAAAATGTAGTTTTCCTCTGAATTAATCATAGGATCACAGAATGGTTTGTGTTGGGAGGGACCTTAAAGACCATCCAGTTCCAACCTGCCCTGTCATGGGCAGGGACACCTCCCACCAGACCAGGCTGCTCAAAGCCCTGTCCAACCTGGCCTTGAACATCTCCAGTGCACGAATCCACAGCTTCCCAGGGCACTCTGTTCCAGTGGCTCACCATCCTCACAGTAAAGAATTTCTTCCTAATATCTAATCCATATCTACCCTCTTTCAATTTATCCCGCTTTTCCTCTGAATGGTCTGTACACTGAAAGGTTCCACCTGGCATCTCCAGGCAAAGGCAGCTCAGCTTTGCACAACAATCCCACGCCCTATCCACTCTCATATGAGGCAACATTTTGTCATCCTCAAGCAGAAAGTCAAATTATTTTAAATTTCCATACGAACAGGAGTCCAAAACTGCCTGCATTGTAGCTTGTTACTTCTCCTTCTGCTCAAATATTTTAAAATGTGCATAATTTCATTCTAGGTCGGTGACTGTTTTCTATATAATGCAATAGGTAAGAAAATACAGTAGAAACAAATAAGATTATTCAAAGTCCTCCAGAGTCACAACCAAACATTCCTTTATATCAATCAGTTCGAATACATCCGGGACTCTGGGCTGCAGGAATATGAAAGGCTTCAGAAAAATAGTTTCTAGATGGATAGAAGGTTTAAGTCCTTCACAAATGTAATTAAAGAAACTGATACATACATTGGAAATGGAGGAAGTTCTGAGAGCAGCATCAAGATTTGGCTTCACTGTACTGCGAGCTAACTGCTTCTGAAGATTCTTATATCTCCTTGTACAGCTTGAGGAGAAAGTAGCTGTTGCATGAGCTATGGTAATTTTTATACTAAAATACCCAGCATCTGCAGTTTTCAACTAATTTCCAAGTTATAAATTGCAAATCAAATAGACGTAGTGTGCTTTGCAAACAAATAATATACATCTACCAGGAAATTGTTAGGCTATTGCTGTGCAGTACATATACACTTATGCAATATGTATCATAGATACATCTTACATGTATGTGTATTTACATGGAGAGAGCCATAAAATAACATGAATACAATAAATGATTCAGAAGTTAAAAAAACAACCACTAAAATTCAGTTTTCCAGATCCAGGTGTACGTTATCATTCCATTTCTTCTATTTCATCATGCAATCCCAAAGACAGGAGATGCCTCCAATTGCCCCCTCCAACTGTGATATATTATGATGTTTGATTTCAAGAAGCACACCTCAGTTGAAGAACCAGCTAGGGCAAGAAATAATAAAGACCAAGTGCTTAAACCTTGGGTATGATGGTGACATGTAAGGAAAGGTAAGGGGGCTTTTGAAAACGGTTGCTAATATTTATAGTTATAACACCATACTTAATGAGGAGTATGATTACAAAGAAAACAGATAAAAGTAGTTACAACAGGCACATCTGCTGGTTAGTCACTGTTCCAAAGATGCCAATATTTGTTTTATTAAAAATAAAACAACATACAAAGAATAACAAACTTACATCTTCACCAGGCTTGCCTGGAGGTCCCTCTGGTCCACGAGAACCAACTGGACCCTAAAAAATAAATGTATTTGTTGTGAAGTCAGTATAGCCATCACTAAAATATCTATTTGCTGCATTTCAAAGTCCAGTTTTATAAAAACACATGTAGAGAAAGGATTATTTTATGTCTATGTATACTTGCCTAATTTTGTGGTGCTTTTTCTAACCATCCTACTCCTAAGAAACATGCATTATGTTGTATCAAGATATAGGATGGATTCTTTAGGAGAAAATTAAAAAAACAAAACATTAACAATCACAGTTGCTGTTGTTATAAATCTCTGGTTCTTGCTTTTACTTTTGAATCATTTTACTGTGTCCAAAAATAAATATTCTCATAATCCTTTGTCTAAGTTATACTACCAGGTATGGTTTTATGAGGCCCTAACTATCCTCAAGTATGTGCTGGAAAAGTAGCAATTATTGTTTATACTATGATCATTACTATGCACGTTCCAAGCAACCTGAATTCACTGATTCAGGACAACGTGCTTTGAACAACACCGGTCTTGACTGAAGTTACTTAATAACTTTGTCTGAGACAACACACAGAAAAATGTTCTGAAGTAAGGAGGTGTAATATATTGCTTCAATTTCATTGTAGAAATGTTTGTATTTATTGGTCTTACCATAGGTCCTGGATCCCCAGGTTCACCAGGTGGGCCTGTGGGGCCAGCACCACCCTAAAATTAACCAGAGATGAATACAGTTACAAGTTCCAAAAAGTAGAAATATGAGGTTATAAATGAAAATCCACAATCAGAAAAATCACAGCACATGGGACAGTTTGGATTCTAGTTAAGAACCAGCTCACAGTGCAAAATGAGTGAAAGCTGGATACTAAAATCCCTCAAGCTTTAGATAACTCCCATGCCATATACACATCCCACTGGAAACTTAACACCGTGTCAACACTGAAACCAGAACAGTCACCATGTTAATTGCTGTTCCCTCATTAAAAAAATGTGCCTTGGGTTAAAACCTTGTTAGAAGTCCAATAAATTGTTCTTTATGAGTTAATCTCTATGTATAGAGTACATCTGGAGCAGAGCTCCTGAGAGTAGCATGTTTAGATTCACCTCTAGATGAAGATGCCTTGAAGAAGGCCAAGCACAATGAAGAGCTGCCACTTCCACAGCACAGGGTAAAAGAAGACAGTGCAACAAACAGATATTCAGATGGAGGATGTTGAAGGAAACTGTACTTGCTATTTTGCTGCCTGTCTGTCTGCTGTTTGTTTGATAAAACACCCACTTTCAGTGATAAATAGATATAAAGTAAGCAGTATGTAATTCGATAGAGCAGGGAAATGGAAACAGGGGAATACTGCTTTTCTGTATTGGGAATCACTAGTCAAAGGTGCTGCTGAAATCCATTTTTCAAGTAAGTTTAATAAAACACAGAAAAACTACACCAAAGAAAAGAAAGCCTGACACTTACAGGCTAACAAACTCACATTGCATGATTCTCTGAAACATATAGAATTATTTTACAGCTGCAGAATTGCAATTGAAAAGTGAATTTTAAGATTTCTTTCAGTCAGGAGTGGCCTAAACGAAATTAGCATCTAGATTTCAGTCAGAAACCACAGTCTCCAACTTATATATTCAATTTATACAACCAGTTGTTCAACATCTGTGTGCCTTTGAGTTGCACATTCTCTGCCTGCAGTCAGTTTTTCTTTCCAAGCTTTCTAGACAACTTTCCATCCAGACTGTGTATGCTTATGTGCCATATGTGATGCCAAATATGCCAAATGCCTCTGTGAGTATTGAAGATGGACATTGCCTCAGAGACGCACACACCCCGTCGTTACTATGTGCTTTGCCTTCATCTCTGGCCAACTATCTGAAATCCCCTGAGGTGAAGTACTTACTTGTTTTCCTTGGAGACCTTGAGGACCTCTTGGACCCACTGGACCCTATCGAAAACATAACTTGTTACACCCTGGAAAAAACCATTCCCCAAATAACATTCATCCTACACAGACATCAAAATGGCCTGATAGTGGCCTCCAAGATAGCATTTCTTTGCTCAGACCCTCTGAGGGGCTTTTACTCAGGAGGCTGATGTTCTGAAATACAGAAGTACATAGAATTTAAATCTTCAAACTCAGAAAGCCACAGCAGTGTTAATTCATTAGCAGAGAAAATTATGGGCTCGGTTGCTTTCTGGAACATCAAGTCTCTGGAATCAGTCAGGATAACTGTGTTACCTGCATGGGGCAAAAATTTACAGAACAGAATAGACTGGGAGGAATAGCTTTCCCTTGAAGGGAATCTCATTGCTCAAATTAAACTCACAGTGGAATCAATGACAAAATAAATGCATGCTGCTGTTCTCAGCTGTGAGCAGTAACAAGTGACAATGGAAGGGCATATTTACAGGAATCATACAAACCAGCAAAACAGCTTCCAAATTGCTGTGATTTGTAACAGAAAATTCAGATTTCCCCTTAAAAAGTTTCATGGGATTTCTAGGAAAAAATCTCGTGTTTAATTTTAACTTAATATTATGAAGCAAACATAATCTTGTCTGAAAGTAATTCTCTTGCTTAGAGCAATACAAAAATACTTACAGCTGACTATAACTTGCATTGTGACAGAGGTTCAAGATTTGCATTTTTTACACACAACTAGTTATTTTTTACTAATATTTACAAAGCAAATGTAGAAGAGTTAGTAATAGGCCCTTTGAAAATTCCAATAAACATTAAAATCAAAAGAAAAATCAATGGTTCAGCTGCATGACTATCAGCCACTCAGTTTACGAGGAAAGTAGAAAAGGATGTCACAGAACATGATCCAAAGACAGTGAGCACCGAATTACTTTAGTAGATTTTGTGTAAGGCCTTAGAGAGGCCTAGATACTGAAAAATACCTTAAAAGATATTATTATATTAAAATGAATCATATTTGAGAATGACAACAGAAGAGGTAGCACAAGAGATGTGAAGTCTCGAGGCAAACTGAGTGAAAGGATTAAGCAAAACAATGGAGTCAACAAAGTAAGTGGTACAGACTTGTTGAACAAGTCATTGTTTGTGCACACAGCAAATTCACTGAAGAGATTCATTCAATAAATGGAAAGCTCTTTGAAGAGGTCACTGCAAAAGTTAATCCTCAGGCAAAGCGTCAGATTATCCTTAGAACCTTTTGGGTTGGACTGACACTGACTGTGAAGGTTTCTGTTGAGGGCTTGGGAAGATGAGACTGAGGTAGGCAAACCCATGGACAGTACAATCACTTGAGGATGGTTTCCTTAAGCATGAACGTTAAAAATAACAGCAAAGAGGGTAACAATATCTTCAAGATACCACAATGGGATAAATACATGTAGTGAAAAGACATTATATTCAAAACCAACCCCAAGAGTTCCAGCAGAGACAGCTTAGGGTGGAGAAACAGTTTTCACAGATGGTAAAAAAAATTACGTGTTACCATTAAGTCCCCAGTGCACTAAAAGTAGAGGGCATTATCTACACAGTGAGAGGTACCAATGATGAAACTGTACCCACTGGAGAAACAGAATGTCTGTGCAAAAGAATAAAGCACAGCTTTCAGTTGACAGCTGGTTTCAGAAATAATTTTTAAATTACTACCAAAAATAACGATCTGGGATACCACAATGTGAAAAGAAGCCTTCAAAGTTATGCATTTCTTTACTTTGCATTATACCTGACACTGCAGTTACTCTGCGGTGACTCAAGATATGAGAAAACCAGGAGCTGGGTTTTTTCCCACACGTAACTGTTAGTAGCTGCTCTATTTCAGGAGGGAAGACAACGAGAAGGCCAGAAGTGGGGGGAAAAAGCTTTCACTTTAACAGAAGAATATTTTTTCACTTTTTGCCAAAACTGCTCTAGAATATACTGTTCCTCTAGACTCTAGAAGCATAGGAAGTTGAAAAGGATGAATTCCCATTTGGGTATTTGCATATGCATTCCATTTCCACCCTGTCCTACAGTACAGGGCTAATCCGGTCTTACCACTGCACCAGGCATCAGTCCCATCTGACTACCGAGTCCAGATTTCTCATCCAGTCCTGCCATCTGAGCTGAAAATGGCTGAAAAAATAAGATGTCAGATTTTAGCTGCCAGTCGTTTTGATGGTTTGTTGAATGATTGACATCATTCAACAACAGAAGTTGTTTTTCCTGTAAATTTGAGGTGGTTTCAGGCTTCAAAGACCAGTCAAATGCATCGGTTTTAACTTGGCTGCTTTGGGTTTAAGTCAGGTGGAAGTAACAGAACCTTAATGAAGGTTTTAGATTTGAGCATCTTGGCTTTTCTAGATGCTCCAACTCATTGTGAAAGGTGCGTCCTTTCTGAGGTTTCTCGCATTCAACTTGGCCCACATTTCTGTCAGAACTCGCACTGCCACGAGCTGCTGCCTCTCGCGGCTGAGAGTCAGGAACTGAAGTGAAGTCACTCCTTGTATCATGTGGGTCTGGCCCAACACTCACAGCACTTTCTACCACAGCAAGTATAAAACTTACCCTGCTTAGTCCATCTGGTCCTGGATGGGTAGGATGCCCTGGAGGACCAGGGTCACCAGGCTGGCCAGGGATACCAGGTTCACCATCAATCCCTTGAGGACCACGAGGACCCTAGAAAGACAATCAGAAACAACAAAAGGTACTCATCAAAATCACTGCAACTGGTGAACTTCCTCGTTTGTGATAAATCTTTATTTCTACAGAAAGAGCTTCAAAAAAACCATCTCTCAAGACCTATACCTACCTTCTGATCAGAAGCACTGGCTAAAGTTAGTCATGAACCCAACACACAAGTAAACTGCAGTAATTCCTCTCACAGGCTCTTTTAGAAACACAGGCTTCCTATCATCCCATACTAGAGTACACTATTCCCAAAAAACTATTTGGCTTTGCACACACATAGAATATCACGAATTTACTTCTAAAATACGTATAGCTCAGATTAGTGTACGTACATACATATGCTTAGGAATCTGTAGCATAAGGCTGTATTTTTCCAGCTTCCTGACGTCAATAATGGTTTACACAGCTTGTACTCTTACTGAAATCTCAATACAGTTACACTGCCAAAAATGCAGAGTAAGTCCCCTGGTACCAATGTTATCTCTAGCTGGTATTTGCAGAATAGGCTGGCAGGCCATCCCATTGCTTCCATTTAGATCACCCACTTCCGATTCCTAGACTGCATTCATCTTATCTTGTGTCAGAACTAAAATTAAACACAGAGGCAGCTAATAAAACATCAGGGGAATAAAATCAACAGCATCAGAACCAATAAAGCTGTACTTCAATCCAAAACATAGACTTTAAAATGCTCGTCAGTACTGCTTCCTTCATTGGAATGAAAAATGCTTGGCCATGGCAAGGAAAGATTTTATTCTGTGCAATGAGCTCTTCTACTTTAAGGATCCTAAACACAGAATGTCAGAAGCCTGGCTCAGTGAGACATCTTCACAAACACAGTTACAACCAGACAGATCTCTTGTATTTCCATGAGATGTGTTTCCTTGCAGTCTGCAACACATTTCAACGAAATTTATGTCTACACTAGTACGGTTTGAACTGATACGGGTTGGGTGTTGAAGAAAAAGCCTTCTCTTGTGAAAGGGCTTCACTGAGATAGCATTGAAAACAGGATTTCTGAAAACTCCCACTGAACAAGCTAGTTGTCTTAACTCTTGATCGATCTTTATCATCTGAAATTCCTAAAAAAGTCTAGCAAGCAGGGGAAAAATATTTTTTTAATCAGACAGGCATGCACACACATGCAACTGCTCCCATGGTGAGGTGTGAATAGACAGCATTCTGAAACAGATGAGAAGATCTGGGCACGGGGGATGGAAGAAGGTTCTAGCAGAAACCTTTATTATTTCATATTTCTACTATGAACAGAAGTACACACTGCCAAACCTAAAAGTGCATACTGTCCAAAGAAGGAAACGAATGAATTGTCTTCTTTATTTGTTCTCAAAATAAAAAGAAAACAAAGCTAAGCATTACAGAAAAATAACCGTTGCCTATAAAAAAATAAGCAAGCATTAATACTGATTTTCAATATCAAAACCAGGACACCTTAACAAAACCTGATATAGAAAAATGTCCTTTTTTTGCTTCTTTTAAGAAAAGGACCTATTTTTTTAGTCATCAAAAATCAATTTGCTTCAAGAGCAACACTGCAAGCCCTCTACCTGAAACCCAAAAAGCCCCTGAAAAGCACATTTTTATTTGTAGGTGCCAATTAACCAGAGGTATATAACCAATTTTTAAAAGTAAAATCTTGATGATACGTTTATTTATTTTATATTATTTCTTTATTTATATATATCTGTATCTCAAAAACCCCTTTCATTTTCCTTCACCAGTTCAAAGCCGGTGAAGTTTAAAAACAGGCCACGAGGTGGCACCATTGAAACACACAACCGCCCCGTCCGGCCGCGGCTGCTGCTGCTGCTGCTCGTCAGGAGCCGCGCAGGTCCCGCCTGCTACGGAATAAGGGGAGGTGTGGATCCTGGTAGAGCACTCTTGAACTACTTTAATTGCTCCTGCAATTACAGTCGAGCATGAATCCATATTGAAGCAAACTATACAAGGGTTCTGAGGATGCTCAAGCTTATTTTCTGTCTGCAAAAGTGCATTCGTAAACACGTGAAATTTAATCTTTCCAAAAACAACCCCTCCCCAGATGCATTTTGCAAATACAAACATGCTGTTCCCTAGCTGTTTCTCTCTTATTGTTACACTAACAAGGAATCGGAAGTAAAAAAATCGCTAATGCTCCTGAATTCACTCTCCATTCAAAGGTCCTGATTTTGCAAAAGGCAGAGATCCACAGCAAGGTTGAGTTCCTTCTGCTCACTGGTCAGTAGAAGTCCATTTAAAGACCAACAACAACAAAAGCTCAAACAAAAAACAAAACCCAAAGAAAGAAACAAAAGGCTTGAAGATATGTTTAGTAGTTTTGCAACATCACCAGCTAGTGATGTATTTACTCGGACTAATTTTATAAAGGGTGTCTGAGCCAGGTTACCTGCTCCACGAGGTGTTTTACACAAACTGTCAAAAATGACCCGACATTTTCAAAGGAGCTGACTGGCTTCTAATCCCTTGATGTTCCCTGATAGCAGCATAATAACCTGTGTCAGAGAAACTTAAAACTACCTACAGCCTTTTGGTATTTTAGATATTTATGCCTCTGTAGAGGGGGGATATGACACAGGGATGCATGACACAGAATCAGAAATCATTTAGCATCTCATCGATAATACTGCACATTAGGAAAGCGCTTCAGACGTCTCCACAACCACAGGTAATATTCCCCTGTGCACCACAAGATCTCACAATCACTCCCATAGTTCTCTTAAGCATCTTCATACTCATTGAACAGACTAATGACTTCTGGTGATCTAGAGAGCAGCAGTGGCTTGGCACCCATCTCACAGAGGCTACACACGTACTCCACTGCTTTAGAAGTGCCATTACATCTCTGGACAACAGTCGCACCCTGGGTGAGCAGCACAAAGGAGTCAATTTTAGGCCTGTGCCTAAACTCAGTGTTGGCTTGCTCTCTCCTGAAGGACAGGAAAACACCCACATAGAAATTACAGTGCTACAGCTCTCCAAAACCTGCTTTCAGCAGTTTCTGCTCTTTGCCCTAGCTTTTTTCAATGGTTACATGTAATCTTTGGTATTTTCAGCACTCCCTTTCGGCCTTTCTGTGGTTCTCCACATGCAGACGTTGAAATTCCCTTATGAAGTCTTTCTTTCCACTGAGCAATCTTGAGTATATTATTCACCAGCATACCAACGTATATAGTCACATATTGACTCCCCAGGAAGTTTCCTGAGCTTTGTCTTACCTGAAATACTCTGAGCCACACAGTTTGCTCTGCTTCTGAAGCACGGTAGTCAAAGTTAGCAAGTGCTTAAACCAGCGAACGTGATGTCTCATGTTTTGGTTTTGGTTGGTTGGTTGTTTTGGTTTTTGGGGGGGGCGGTGTTTTTTGGGGTGACTTTGTTACTTTCAGACACTACTTTGGGTAACAACAGAGAGTGTATGGCTTTTATTGGAAATATGGCTAAACCTCTGTCAATTATCTCAAAACAGCCAGATTTCAATCTATCCAGAGATTGCCGAGAAATAGAAGTTTTGTGTTTTGTCACCTGATTCTTGGAAAATACGAGGAAAGTTCTGGTAAGTGTAGAAGACACAGAGGCAGTTCAAAGTCATCTAACTTTGGAGGTTAGTCCAGTACTTATATTCTGAGTTGTTAAATAACTTACAGGTCTTCCCTTTGGTCCTCGTTCTCCTCGTGGTCCTTGTGAGCCTGGAGGTCCCTAAAAGAAAGATGAGAATATTAAGTACCTTTCAAACTAGCTAATGATTAATAAAGCTCTGAAAATATGAAATGCAAGGCTAATTTGAAAACTAATTTGTGGTTCTTTTTTTCACATAATCGTAAAGAAAACAGCTACAATCACCAAGTGTTCACTATTTCTTCTCAATTGTAGATTGCCTGAAGGGAGTAGAACCAGGATGCTGCAATCTACCAAATGGTTTCATGTCTCACATGCTTCCCAAGTTAACTTAGCGAAGATTTTTCTGAATGCTGGAGACTCTTCACGCAGAGATGTGCAGGTTTGAGACACCCTTCCTGCTAGTCCAGAACTGCTGTCTGCTCAGCCACAGCCGAGAAGCACTATGCATCTCTTTCCATGCTTGCCAGATGCCTGCCAGAACCCAGCATCAAGGTCCTCAGATGTGTATGTACCCATTCGCTTAGGGCCTGGACTGACCTGAGATTGGTAAAAAAGTCCATAATCTCTTTCACTTCTCAAATCGAGCAGTTTTGCAGACAACATCCGCTACAGGCATGGGAGAGTTCTCCCTTCACATCACCCTCATAATCCAAAACAGAAGTGGCAGAAACTGGACAACACCATCATCAGAGAAACAGAAGACCAAAAAGTACTCACGGCTGGTCCCGGGCGACCTCGTATTCCTGAAACCTAAAGAAGGCAATGTAAATTAAAGTTACCACACAACATTATGGCTATGTTTGTCATGATTACCCTGCAGAAAATTTGTTACACCGGGCGACCTCGTATTCCTGAAACCTAAAGACGGCAATGTAAACTAAAGTTACCACACAACATTATGGCTACGTTTGTCATGATTACCCTACAGAAAATTTGTTACTGAAAAGTAAATAGCAAGAGGTAAAATTAAAGTACTGGGCAAGTTGTAAGGCCTTTTGGGGAAAAAAAAATCACTGGCTCTCTCTTTCCAGTTTGGAGTCTTTTTATAAGCAATATGAGTAAAATCTTTAAAGTGTCATTGTTATTCTAAAAAAGATTAAGTAAGTGAATTATAATTATTAATCCCAACTTATCGATTCTTTTAGTTTGTTTGTCTTCATGCTAGAAAGAGATAATAGAGATAGAAAGTGACGATTTATTTCAACAGTTTTCTCAAGTGCCTCTACACTTTGCAAATACTAGTTTATCATTATGCCTCCACAAAATTCTAACTATAAAAATAAAGTTTGTGACAGATTTAACTCAATAAGATTTTTTTCTCAAAATTCTAACCTATGTGAAACAGTGTAAATTCAATTTCCTTCATTCCTAGGTTGCACATTTTTGTTGTATTTCCTTAATCACCGCAATTTTGCTAAAGCACTAAACTGTACTTCTAGGGTGTGCTGATAAATTAAGAAAAAACAGACTTACAGGTGGCACTATTCCAGGTTCTCCTTTTTGTCCCTGTAGAAAAAAAGGTTGAAGACCATCACATGGCAGAGAACAAGTGTAAGTACAAACAAGAGTATCAGTTTTACCAATACCAGCCTAAGAGTTCTCTAAGGAAACTGAGGTTAAATTAAAGTACCTGCGACAGCCAATCCACGCTGTTTTTAATGACTGTAGACACTGGTTAAATGAAGGCTATAGACTTTCTCTAAGTGTATAACATACTGGCTGAAAGACTGGTCAGACTGAAAATGTACCATGATATTTAAGTACTAGAAAACACGTTGTAGTTCTGTTATTGTGTTATTTGATTCGTATGACATGCAGAGCCCAGGGTAGCATTCAGATTCCGTTTCTTCAAGGTACAAAATTAAGATTTTTATCATTAAACCAATGGACATGGAAAACCTGTACATCCACTGCAGCGTGGGCACAGAATACAAAATGGGATCGCACAGCTTCAGGGCAAAGGACACAGCATTTGCCATTTGATTTTTCTTTGAGCTGAATGTGTTGATAATGATTACACATTACATAAAATAACTGGGTTTAGACCTTTTGGTGGTAACCACTTTATTAAGGAGAAAAAGAGGGCTTTGTAAAGAGAAAAAACCCTGCATCCCAGCATTTTTTCTGTGTGGACTGCAATCTCCCTAGCCAAAGAGGAAGAAGAAAGAATTAAGTGGTTTTAACAGAGCTCATATTTAATTTCTGTGAAGCACTCCAAGGAGATGCAAAAGATTATTTTAACAGTTGCAATACATTTTTAAAAAAATAATGGAAATCTTACCTTTCTTCCTCTACCTATTAAAAAAGAGAAAATAAAAGAGAGGAAATTAACGTTTTTCTCTGGGGAACAGAACACAGTAAGAGTTGAGTGAAGGTGTTGCAGCCAGAGCCATCCCCAGTCCTGTCTGCACCGAAGATGGTGTATTGCCTGTGGGGAGCTGGGAAAGTTCCCAAGGACACATCCATCGCACACACCCTTGTTCAGGAGGGAGGAATCATAACAGTTTGCAGTGATGTCCCCTGATTCTCAGCCTTTTCCAGCATTGCACAGAATAAGAAAGAGTGCTGTAGGAAAGTAGAATATCATGGGGAATTGCCAGAATCTGGCCTAATGATTGGCTGTGAAGTCAAAGGAAGCTCAGTAACTGACTTCAGTATAAGCAGTGTTGATGGATCCACGACACATTGCGTGGTTATTTTTCAAAACATAGAGCTGACTGAGAGACTTTGACATTTTTTTGTTTGAAAAGCACCTGCAATATCAGGTGTCTGAGTTCAGAGCCATCTAGCCACACTCATATCCACAAAAATCCTTCAGAGGAATAGTTTATTAATGCCTTGAATAACAGGAAGGAATTCTGGAAGGTATCCATGCTGCTTTGATACTTGCTTGGTGTACCTCGCTGATGTTGGCCCAATGGCTCCCAGAACACAGCAGGATGCACCATCTATTTATAAATGCTTACCACATCTTGAGCCATTGCTCAATTACACGAGTCCTTACTACATGCCCTCTACCTCTGCTTTGTTCTATATTAAGCTAATCAACAGCAATTATACCTCCCAGAGAAATTGCTTTAACTGTTATATATAGAATGTCATTCAAATGATGCAATATTAATGAACATTAATTGCAAGAGGTTTGGGTCTCTTTAGGAAAATTGAGGCGGCAGGGGGATTGCTTCATACAACTCTCTCCAGGAAGAGGAAATGGACTGGAAAAGACATGATCTTTAAGGCTAATCACAGACAGTATGCAAACAGGGAGATAACAGTACTTCATACTTATCTTTTTTTCCTATGTCTCACAAAAGGACCACATGTCCATGGTTTCATTTTGGGGAAACACTTCATACTGTTTACATTTTACTGTTTACATATAATGTTTACATTTATTCTTCCATTAGAGGGTCCTCAAATGGAGCTTTTTATTAAAGCATATGTTTTATAAATTATATATATTTATAGAATAAATATACATTTATCTTAATATGTTTGTGGTACGTATTTATCTTAACATATTTCTTTTTCAGTTCCAGATATACCACAAAAGTGAGCCAGAAATCAGCCTTGAAATATTAAGATGGCATTCATATCAACCTTTTAGTTATAAAGCCCCCTGGGCTCATATCGGATTCATACTCAGAAGAAAACTGTTTCAAGAGCCAGCTCAGGTGCAACCCAAGATGAAATGTAACTGCCAAGTATCTACTCTCCTCAGATTTAAACTTTCTCCAGGGAAATACTATAAGAAGTTTCAGTATCATGAGGTTCCTAGTTCTTTGGGCTGTCTCTCCTTTCAAAACCAGCACACTGGAAAGCAATCTTACCGATGGTGGTGTCAAAATCGCGTGTTGTATGGGGACACACAGGGCAGCACTCTCCTGGGGGCACCTGCGGGTTTTCACACTCCAGCACATCTTGACACTGAATTTCATCACAAAGAATAGCTCCATTGTCACAGACACAGATTTGGCACGGTGAGGGCTTCCAAATATCCCTGTTCAGGTACATCTGGCCATTCTGAGTGCAGGCTATTTCTTCAACATCTCCTGGAGTAGGAGAGAGAATATACAATGCATTTTCCAACTGTGAATCAAAGGAGTAGGAGTAGGACAAGGAAAAAGCACACACCTGAAGTCTACCGGTATATTTCAACTTGATATTAAGGACTTTTATATATCAGTCATCTTAAATGTCTTTCTTATTTTACCATAAAATAATTTCTGATGAAGTCTTCAAAAACCAAGTAAAGTGGAAACTTTTCTTTGGGTATCCAACATTTTACAGAATGCCCTATCAGGACAAATCAGGAACCACAGTGCCAAGATGCCCTCCTCTGAGTCACACACAGCAGAACTGTGAAACACAGCCCAAAATGATGCTCATGACCAGTGGGATACTGTGGACAAGATTCATCTTACCTGAGTGGGAGCTCCCTCTGACCACAGGAACCTTCCTAACAAAAATGTCTTTGAAACTGGACAATGCAGTTAAAACCATTATCTGATAACTCCCAAATAGCCCTAATTTCTAACTGGTACCAGACTGGGAATAGGGACAATTATATACATATACACACACACATATATATATACACACACATACAGAACACATCCCACTAGTCAAAGACCATGAACATTATTTTTTAAGAAAACTTATTACTAGCACTAAAATTAACTGCTCTAAGCACAAGGACAGTTTCACTGCTCTATGCATTTCTGACCTAATTTAAACCAGATGTAAACAGAAAAATGACAAAGTAATAAATATGAACAGATTTGGAATTTCAGCCTCATGCCTTAACTCAAGTCCAGTTACTCCATCAATGTCAGAGCGCAGGGAAATGCAGCAGATGTGTCATTAACTGTTGCCTGCCATCACTTACTTTTGCAGCTTTCTGCGGCCAATTATATGAAGTTCAACAAGGCCAAGTGCCAGGTCCTGCACTTGGGTCACAACAACCCCGTGCAACTCTAAAGTCTTACGGAGGAGTGGATGGGAAGCTGCCAGGCACAGAGGGATCTAGGGGTACTGGTTGACAGCCGCCCAAAGTGGAGCTAGTAGTGTGTCCAAGTGGCCAAGAAGGCCGATGTCATCCTGGCTTGTAGTAATAGTGTGCCCAGAAGGACCAGGAAAGTGATCCTTTCCCTTTACTACCCCTCCCACTGCTGAGGCCATACCTTGGATAGTGTCTTCAGTATTGGGTCCCTCACTACAAGGAAGACATTGAGGCACCCAAGTGTGTCCGGAGAAGTGTAACAAAGCTGGTGAGGGCTCTGGAGCACAAGTCTTATGAGAAGCAGCTGTGGGAGCTGGAGTTGTTTATCCTGGAGAAGAGGAGGCTGAGGGGAAACCTTCTTGCCCTCTACAACCACCTGAAAGAAGGCTGCAGCGAAGTGGGAGTCAGTCTCTTCTCCCAAGTAACAAACAGTAGAATGAGAGGAAATGGCCTCAAATTGCACCAGGAGAGGTTTAGGTCGGGTATTAGGAGGAAATTCTCCACTGAAAGGATTATCAGGCACTGGAACTGACTGCCCAGGGAAGTGGTGGAGTCACTACCCCAGAGGGATTTAAAAGACATGTAGATGAGGTGCTTAGGGACATGGTTTAGTAGTGGACAGGTTATGGTTGGGCTTGATGACCTTAAAGGTCTCTTTCAACCAAATGATTCTATGATTCTAACAGAAACTGAAATTCAAATATATACCAGGTCAGCTTGTCTCTGCAACCAGTTTATCACACCAACTTGCAAAATGACACGAAAGGGTGCTGCACAAAAGGAAATGTTTTCATTGTGAAGTAAAGACATCAACCAAGTGTGCTGTACAGTCCATTTATGACACTGTGAGAATAATTTTCCAAACTGCAGATGGTATTTTGGAAAGCACTCTTCTTGCTTCTCCCTTGTGTGCATGACATAATGCGCTGTCTGACATATTTAGGCCTTTCCCCCCAGATGTCTGGCATATGGTCTATGTCTTCCTTAACATATCAGCCCCAGAACTTGTTGTGCCGTTCAGAAGAGCAGCAGTTTGCATAAATGAAATTTCTAAGTTACTGATTCCAAAGTCAGCATTTTGATATAACTTCAAATAAACCACATAGCAACTGCTTTGGCAAACCAGAGCTGAGCCAGATGGTGACTGGCTTCTGCCTGCGTCTCATTCAGCAATTGAGAAAGAGGCAGACAAAGGCAGGGGAGGGAAAGCCACATATCAACTTCTGAAAGCGTACCAAGAAGTCTGTTTTCCTATCAGATTGCAGATATGCTGACAATAAATAATATTTTTTTTAAAACCACAAAAAAACCAAACAAACAAAAAATCCATGCACACCCCCCACAGTACTGCCAGAAAACACTTTTTAAATTTTAATTCTTTTGATTACATTTGGTGTTTCAAGTTTTACTTTCTGCTGTGATGCATTACACTGAGAGTAACCTGAAAAGAGCAGTGACTTCAAAGCCAACCTATACCACAAGCACATTTTGCCATTTTACTCTTGGGCCTGAACTTCAGGCATGTTATCTATTGGCACCCAGAGCAGGAAAGGCAGCAAAGGAAGATGTTCTACCATTTCCTCCCTGACATGGAAATCTGCAAGTTTTTTTAATTACGGAGACCAAGTCACAGACTCTTCATGTTTGATGTTCTTTCTACCTCTGCAGTTTTAACACAAGGGGCTGAAGGGCTTGAGAAGCAGCTCTGGAAATCCCTATTGTGGCAAAAGGAGCTGCTAGCTCATTAAATGATTCATTTCTTACCAACAGAAAGTACAACTCTGATTGCTATTGGACCCGACTAGAGAATCTGCAAATCCATTGAAGTCAGTGAAAATTAATTTCAGAGCAGTCTACAAATAAAAAAGGCAAGGTAGAACAAGTGCCCTGTATTAAAGGACTCATTCATGCACGCTCTTGCACAAAGAACCTGAGTGAATTTCAATGAAAAGCACAGTAAGTACAACACAATTATTTATCTGCTCTGTATTGATCTGTTGGACTATCAGTTTTGCTTTAAAGAACTATTTGATCAGAAGCCAAACAGTTATAGTTAAGACACTAAATCATCATACTCGGTGACTACGCATCAACAGTTTGGAAGTAAAAAATTCCCATCATGCCCTGACACACCCAGGTATGTCAGGTTTGTGTCAACACTGAAATTGTGCTAGTTACTGGGAGCAGGAGGGATCACCCCAGTCACTAGATGGCTGTCAAAGCCCGGCACCAGCAATTCTCACAGAAGGTTATACACAGTAAAGGCATGCAAGGCACACCCTGCTTTGGGCATTTCGTGCTGAGCTCATTTCTCTCTAGGTTGATTGCACTCCTCAACAGCCAACAACAGGACAAGTGTTTTAAAAGACAGTATAAGAAATCATTTCAGTCTTTCACCACCATGTACACGTCATTTTGAAAGCAATGTCTGGACATTCACTGCTGACTGGTTTGTTATTTATCATTACTCCACATCACTGCATCCTTATTTCTTTCACTGAATTCTGGTCTGCAGCTTGCGTATGAAGAGGGAAAGTGAGGCCTGGGCAGAGAAACAGGTAGAACAACAGAAAAAGAAAGAAGGAAAATGACACCATAAAAAGAGAAAATTAAGGGGGGTGGGAGGGAGAGGAGGAGGAACACAGGGTTGTGAGTATAAATGTTTTAAAAGAACAGGCTAAGAAGGGGGAGAAAAGCAAGACTATTTACCGTTTAGAGACAGGGAGGCCTGCTGAAGCTGATATCCTAAGGTCTTATTTTCACTTGCAGAAGCATTCTCAAAGCCCCAAAATATACTCTCCTGTTACCTGTCTCTTCTGAAAGACAACCTAATATGGAAGCAGTCAACCACCGTTACCGCAGCTGATTAGGTGGCAGGGATATGATAGGAGGGAATACATCTTTCAATGACGTGCTTGGGAAAAAATGGCCAGAGCGAACCTTGCAGATACAGAGGTTTTCTGCAGAGAGTAACACCTTTGGATCATAGATGAAAGGGTAAGAGAAAGAAAAGGATTTGACAACGAAGCAGCTCCATTTAATTGCATTTTTACTAGTCCTAAATAAAGAAGCCTGAAGGCTGATAGGCCTACAGCACCAGAGAACATAATCTAAAAAAGGCAGAAAGGATGATGACTGGTATTGAAAGCACGGTCTGTCAGTTTTACGCTTTCTTCTGCCAACAGGGACTTCTTGATGCATACTGTTACCAAACCCAAATGCTTTTACATTGCTTAACATAAAAAGACTGGAACAGAAGAGGTATGGTTATTTAATGAAAAAGGGTTGGAAACAAAAGAGCTTGTGCAGACAGCTTTTCATCCTCTCTTCATCTTCCTGATGCTCGTTTGTGAAAAGTCTAAGCAAATATAAGATTGCATAGACACAGTGGCTTTTAAATTGAAAGAAATTTCTAGACTATGAAAAACTGAGTTTCAGGTTATGAATTACAAAATTTAATCCCGCTGATTCACAAAGCAGAGTTGCAGAAGAAAATCAACGTGAAAGAGGATACGTGCTAACGACTGTTCTGCAGATGTACTGTTGTGTGTGCACACAGACTGCCAAGAGAGGGACAAGAGAAGCTTGGTGTTAATCATCTTTGATTGTCAGCCTGTTGCAACAATAGTGTAGGGCTTGATCCAGTTCCCATTAAATCAATAGAAAAAACCTCTCATTTATTGCAGTAAGAATCAGGCCGCCTTTTTTGTTTATCTTTTGATAACTTCTTTTGAGTAGTAATAAATGAAGTATTATCCAAATTACTGTGCTATGTAAAATATAATGTAAGCGCCAATTATTTCGAAAATCAGATACTTTTCAGGAGTGCTGATAAATACAAGACCTATTTTGCAGTTGTTGCACAGAAACTGTTCTTGTTAGTAAAGTTTAACGTACACAGTTTACGGAAGTACTTTACAGTTACATACCTGAGGATGAACCTGGCATCCCTGACCAATAAGCGAATGAACTGATTCACAATTCACTTAATATGAAATATTTGATTATCAAAATGAAATCAAATCTGCATTCATACATTTCATACATTTCTATCCAGGATACATCATGCATCTCAGTGAATTGTAGA